TGTCAGGTGCTTCAAGACTTATGGTACTATCTGCCTTCAAGTCAATATAGTGGCTGATGTCACATTCGACCACCAGTTTGACTATCAGTCTAAAACGAACGCAAGGCGTAGCCGGCAATTTAGGGCACAATCACGCGAATGAACTGAATACGTGTGATTAATAGGTGATTCGGGTTATGGAACAAGCGCAATGTCTCAGATCGTCGTCGTCGCGAAGCCTTTTAAAGCACAAGAGGCTCTGATCCAGACGTGATTTTTCTGGGACAAGCTTTATCTAAAGCGGAAAACTGAAACTCTCCCAAAAGCGCAATGTGGAATTCGCGCTGGTACGCTTTACACAGTGCTTTCACTTGGACGGGCATCAAAGCCGGTCACCTACACGTCGAAGTTTCATTCTTCTGAACGAGCAGAAGCCACAATGAAACTCGGGGCGTGGTTATCGTAAATTTCCCTTTGAATTCTTTTCAAACTCAAACGTGAGGTTGTGAGGGCGTGGTAGAGAGAGTTCGTTCTCCAAAAAAGCAGTTCCCGAGTCAGTCGATTCCCGAGTCATTTTTTCCCCCACTTTCTCTGACAATTAGTGCGAGTCACAAGTAAATAAAGAGAAGTAATAGGAGCAGGATTGGCTTAGGAGGTATATACCAGAACAAAGGAATCAGGGGCAGCGTCTGTACCACTATACCACTTCCATTCGAAAAAAGTGGGCTTAATGGATCGATCCAAAGCTTGAACCTTTACCGTTTAGAATTTTCGCTTTCCTCAACTTGAGGAGTATATGGTGGCAAGTGGGCTGCATACGTACCAAGACACGCAGTCCAGGAATCAACTCGCGGGCTCCCTATCAGGTCAACCAAGCTTTCTACCATCCAGTGTGGTAAAGGCACCAGACTCAAATACTTCGGAGGACAACACACAGACTTGCACATTCGACTATCCCGGCAACTCATCATGCAGGCTACACTATGTTTTATAGCAATCAAACGCCGCTACGATTCTGAATGTAAGCAGAATGTATGGCACATTCCAAAAAAGGAAAGAGCAACGGCGTGAGCTCGAACTTTTTGAACAAATCTAGAGGGTTAGCATGCGACCGAGCAGCAGTGTAGGTACCAGCGATGTCATGGATACTCTTATATCCAGCTCATTCTTCCCTGAAAAGCCCTAATGGGCTAATGGCCTCCACAAAGGAGTTGCCAGCCACACAACTGGGCGTTTTTTGGAAGATGAAATAGGTATTACTTTCGAGCTTGTAATTGCCCAAAGTCTTAGTTTTCCACTATGCACTCGCGCTGCTAGCCACCCCGTAAAGAGTCCCAGATGACTGAAGAAAGTGCTAGGCTTAGGAACTCCAGATGTGGGAAATTAATAAATACCTTTTGGGACTATTGTGATAGGGCAGTAAAGTCTGGAAACCTAGTTCGTGTTCCATCAACATTAGAGTCCTCATCAAGCTCTGATACAGCAAAACACTAGAGAGGTTGAGGAACTCCTTGGCTCATCGTGACCACACCTAGTTCGTATTTGAGTGGCATGGGTATCTGTAATGAAATGACAAGAGCAAGGCTGTTTCACTCTCCGACTTTATTGCACAGAAAGTCAAGTCAGTCAGTCGTCAGAATTTTTTTCTCTCTGACCAATCCTTGCAAATCCTGGCTGAGATATCTTATGGAGGCGGTCTTGATCGCAGAGAATTTTGTGCAGTACCCATTTTACTCTCTATTCACTTGAGCAGGGAACTGACATGATCAGGGGCCGCCTTCCTTCTCAAACCTGAGTGCTACCACTAGCTTCCGCGAGCTTCAGAATGCCGCAGTTCACTTTCGATAGTTTGAAGAGGGCGGCAGACTGAAAGTTTAGTTAGATGGCGTTATCTACTTCATTACGGTCCCTTAAACACTTGCAAACGCACTATGGGGAGAATCTGAATGGTATTTTAGTAGTTCCAACCAAGTTTCAAAGGGTCATCTCACGCGCAAGGGGATAAGGGCTTGGCTGGCTTGAGAAGACCCACTTGTTGTTCGCGCCAGCAAGGCGAACTCCATTCTAAAGAACCCAGTCAGGATCCATACTGGAGCTCTGTTATTTGGAATGTCCGATCGCGGGCTTTGCTTTTATTCGGTTTGTTGTGCACCACTCCTGATTTCTTTCTCCTTCTCAGAAGATGTGGCGGCCTAGATAAAAGATCCCGACTTGAGGCGGTGTCACTGGGAAGAGGCGTCACCGAACCTATACTGCACTATAGCACCCCTCCCTTACTATTTTCGCCGCGATACGGCACAAGACTAGTCGTCGCGAACCACACTACCCTCCCGACGTCATATTTTCAACTGCTATAGCTGATCGTTTACCGTGCTTTAAGCTACAAACACAAAAGAGATTTCCATGCATAACTCTCACGCCTCCGCAGTTGCTGGGTGAACTACGGAAGGTCGACTGTCTGTTATTCTTATATCAGCAGCTGCATCTTTACAAAAGATTCGCCATTTTGGCTCCCGCTGCTCTACCTCTTGGTATTTTTACAGCTCTTCTACTCACTCCTCTGATGACGTTTTCCTCCATGTAATGGATGCAGAAAGCTCAACAAGTCAATAAAATAAGAATCTCTTGTGTTCGAAGGCAGCGCCCGCGTTCATTTGATGTTTCCACGGCCTCTTTGGATATCGTGGCTCACAACTCAAAAATACGAGAGGAAATTGGCGCCCACTCGTGAAGAATCTGCCGAGCAAGTCCCCTCTTCGCCTTGAGCACGTACAACCATCTTCGGTTTTTTCACTACTTAATTACGTGCTGCCTTGTTCCCCCTTCACTCAGCCTTTGAAGGCACGGTCCGCGATAAAAAGCCTGGGTGATGTTGCAGAAATGTGGAAGAAAATTCGCCAAGTGAACCGTCTATGAAGAGAAAATGCCAAAGGGAACGTTGGAAACGCATTCGTCAGGCCTCCTCTAGCCTCAAACAACTGTAGAGGTAAAAGACCGTGCGCTGGACGATTCCCGTCGGCTGATTCCCAGTAATAAACCTTACGACTCTACAAGAGAGCATTGAATACATTCACGTCCATGATACTTGAACAGGGAGCATTTCTTTGGACTGAAGTGACTTTGGAGGCGGAGTCTGGAGGCGGAGTCACTGGAAAAAGGGATGTACCACTGAAGCAACTTTGCGCCTCAATTCCTTTACCGTACAACTTTCCGCCGCGAAACTGGCACAGGGTTGTCCACTCCAGACCGTGCACTACCGAACCTTTTCTCCCAGCAACAAACTTCTTGCATTTTCATAGTCATACGCGGACGCGCGATCCTTTAAAAGTATTTTCACTTCTTCCCTGAGATGAATCTCAACGGGCAAAATCTACTTATGTCAGATGTAAGCCTGGTAATACTCCAAAAGAGCCTAGGAAACCACCAGGAAGGACGGAGAGTGCTTTACTTTTTGTGGCGAGCCTCGCTTTTTTCACTCATGTCTGTCGCTGTTTTTCTCTGCGTTCCGCGGTCGCAAGTTATGGTCCCCGAATTGTTGGAAACTTTGTTTGTGGAATGAATGAAAAACCCCAAAGAAAAATTTCATGCGCTGGTTCTTGAGGCAGCAGCAAAAGCAGTAACACCTTCCTTCACATCGGGACCACCTTCCACACTGTGTGTTGGCTTCAGGAAAATCTCGCACATGACTACGTCCTATCACTCTTGCGAAAATCTTGTTTTCTGAAGAAGTTACAAGCATTTCGCGAAGAAAACTGTCACATGTTTTATGCACATGTACTGGGAGTGTAGCTATAAGAGACAGCCTGCGCTAGGCCAAGAGATGTATCGAAGTGGTATTAGAGGCACAGAGGGCAGGGGCATGGGCGGCCCGTATAAATTCTTTAGGATCGATGGATGCGCGCAAAACCATCCGACGTTATTCATTACAATGTAATAAGAGGGACCTGTATATGACACTGATCAAGGCATCTGTGCCCTTTGTCTTCATGCAAGCCTTGGAATTTCCGTGTACATTATGTTAGTGCTTACCATTTAAATGGGCCGTGTTAAGGTAAACGATAAATAAATAGATCAGCATAGTAAAGTTTTAAGTCATCGGGCCAGTTTTGATTTGTCCATGCATCCGGAAGACGCTTGAAACCTTAGGCAAATCTCGTGCGGCGAGAACTAAAAAAAAAAATAGAACCGCAATTTTGTGGCTTTCTGGATAGGTTCCCAAACACACTTTTTAAAGAGAAGAAAATAGGAAAGAAACGAATCGAGCACGGGCCGCCAGCTAGTGTGAAACGGATTTCCCGTTTTTTATTACTGTGTGAATTTCAGCTGCATCGGGCTTTTATGTGGAAAGACCTGAGTCCCATGGGCCTGAAGCTCTATATAGACTTCCTCTCAGCCCACTTTGGTGTATGGACTCAACAAATAACGCTACTGTCACTTTACAAGTATAAGGCATTGCGCTTGTGATTTACGTTCAGGACGCAACCCACACCGCTTTTGAAAAAGTTGGCTAATCAACCGCTCCAAATTACTGCGTCATAAAAGCTTCAAAATGCATTGCTTATCTCTGCCTGATCTTGGGCCAACGAGCTTGTTCCAAAAAAAACTTGCAACTATCGCTGATCGCAGGAGAACGGCGGCGGGAACGCGAAAACTGAAAAAAAATCAAATCAGAAAGAAAGAATCTCACATAAGCAAATATTGGCTCCTGATCCGCTGCCGTCGTGCTTCGACTCCCATTGTTTTTTTATACAGCGCATGTTGCGCTCTGTCTGCATCCCCCCTCCCTCCAGATGCTGTACGCCCATGCTGAATTGCTCTCAAGTTTGAAACAATTTTCAAGGGTAGACCACATATATCTTTCATTTTTTTCTGTTTCTCTCTCTGATGAAGGCGACAAGGCGGAAACATAGGCGCCGTCACATCTTGCCTACAGTACCAACTCACATAAGTACACGGAAATTTATTGCGATTATTAGATCAATTAATGAACATAAATAAAATTTGCTGTACAATTGCAATGTTCAACCATGAACGACATATGGCGGGGAAGGTATTGGGTATGCTGGGGCAGGCACTGGATACAAAGATGGTGGAGCTGGAGCTACTGCATACTGAGGTTGGTTCGGGTACTGAGGCACACAAGGTTCTGCAGCAGGTTCAGGTGTTGTAGGACTGAAACAAGGTTTTTTGGTTAGCACATTGTGAAAGCGGATGCAGTTAGTTAGATGTTTGATGGGAGGATAAACTTTTGGGTTGGAAGTAACACTTCCAACCTCGCACTCCGAACGGGCTAAGATTGAACAAAACTCACGCTTCACATTTTGGTGGCTCTCTAATTCCAATCATTGCCAAGAGATCAGCATAAATGCCGGCATTAGTGTTGGCAACTAGAGCGAGGAGAATGAAATAGTGAAGCATTTTGGAAGATCTCGCTCTCGCATGCGCGGCGGTCTCGCTTAGGCCCTTTTTATAGGAACGGGACCAGTTATTAGTCCGCACTGCTATCACTCCGCACTTGCACACGTTTTTCTCACCGAGATCTCTAATGGGTTCAACACTGATATCTCCAATCTCGAGACATCTCGCCGTTCACTCGGATCCGCGGAAGGATTTTTCTTTCGCTCAGAAGCGCTTCTATGATCATTCCAGTGAATCATTTCACAACTCGGACTAGAGCTCCCTGATCATGAAAACGTTGCCCAGCTGTAGCCTTGAAAATGATCCTTACTGTTTCCAAGAGTACCACTTCCTCAAAATGGCAAACGAAGTCCTTCCCATCCTCAGACAGTGAGGGAATCCTTTATGGTGTGACACTGGCCACACTTGAAAAAAGGGCGCGAACAGGCCAAGGAAGAACGTTCGGGAATTCGCGAGAACCTTCCACCTAACCGATTCCTGCTTACGTGCAAACGGGAACTTTTTCAAAGAGTTCCGGCATCTTCTCCACATCCCTTCATTGCCGTTGGACAGCTATACTGGCTTCCATTGAGACCTTTATCAACGCGGGCTATCTTTATAGGGAGTTTCTTAATCCTAAAAAAAGAACACTGAGGCCTTCTTGAGTTTTTAAGCTACCTGCGGCAACGTCTGGTGTTGGTGCGATCATCTGAGAGGGCATTTAACCGGGTCGTCGTAGTAGACCACCTTCCAAGCCGTAGAATTATTCTCGGCACAGGCTCGGGTGGCTAAGGGTCTTTAACCTCGTTGCGCTGCGGTGGTAAACTTCGGCATCGCTGCAACGGGGTTAAGAACCTCTGACCATCTGAACGTGACCCTTGGCGTGGTTCTGTGGCTAACCCTTTGCCCAGTCAGAGCTGATATTCTCACATTCTTTGTGTTCGTTCCGAAATACCTCACTGCGCAGTAGTATTTTTCGATTATAGTGGTTCTCATGGTAATTTTAAGGGACTCAGATACGATAACACCCCTTCTCCCACTCTTTAACCATCCCACCGAGCATGTTTCGTTCGATTTCAGGCTTTCTATACTCTTTCAAAATTTTTTCCGAAAACTCTTTGCTTTTTTCTCCGAAGGAAAAAGTGGCATTGAGCGGGTGCGGGACAGATCGAAGATGGGGGAAGTGGACAGCAGGCAGGGAATAGAAAAAATCAACTGTCAGAAGAATTCGCTCACTACAAACAAGCCCCCCTTCTGTGATTAAATACGCCCCTCTGCTAGGATTTCTCCACCTTGCGAGTGTCCTACTCAACAATTTTGAATGAGTCGTACTCTCTGGATAACGAGACCGCGGAATGTTGGAGGTCTACACTTGGTTCTGATGACCTGAACAGTACCAATCTACCAAAAACGCGAGTAAAATCCCTTTCTAGAAGAATGGCAACCTGAATGATAAAGTTTTTAGAAGCAGGGTGCTTGTACCTAGACCGATGACGTTTCAGGGGTTTGCGGAAGCTGATCTAATCTCTGATTTTTTTCGGGCCCAAGCCTGGAAGGAATCCAGCAGCTCCTTTCCTCTTATTCAACGCCGTTGGAATTGCAGTTTCAGTTTTAGGTATCCTCTCCAACCAAGCACTGTTGACTGTTGACCATGAGGAGTCTGAATTCAATCAAAACGTTTTAACTTTTTCCTCATCGGAGGCCAAGGAACATTATGTTCTTGCCGATATTCTGACCCTTTTTAGCGCTTCAACCTCACAGTGCCCATACCGCTGGATGACATCCAAGGGGGGCAGCGGACCGTTTCCTTTGACCTCTTTGCAATCTGTGAAGGATCATGGATTGAAAAAGAGATGGACATGACCGACAGGGCAACTCCTCTTGTGGCCTCCGTTGATGCCTATGTGATGGTGTGTGTTGATAACAAACAGTACACTGATTGAGGAGCGCTGTTCGAGTATAGAGGGGGCATTTGTACTTTCGTAGTTTCTGTTACTATTTACAGTTTAATTACACGTCTACCTCGGTGAGATCGGCCCACTCTTGTCAAGTATAAACGAAACTATCATTAGCCAGCTAAATGCACCACCAAGCGGAACAGGTAATAATTCGAAGGGATCCAAGGAACGAATATGCTTCCTACCGTAATTGCGCTACTAGAGTCAGACACTGCTGCCCGTCGTAGAGTAAATAATTCCACAACTAGCTGTTCTTGCACCAGCTGCACCGCCAGAAACGGTGCCTCATAATCGCAGTACATTTACAGCTTGGGTTTTCCTTAGAAAGTTGATGAGCACGAGTTTTAAAGCATGCGATGTTTCAAAAGAAACAATGTGATGGGCGTGGATTAGGCACTCCTGAAATGCCCGCATCCTCTACTTCCACACAGATTTGTGAAAGGGAACTGGTTCGTAATAAAGCGTGGGGGCTAGCTATAGCAGAGCGCTGCGGTTTCATCCTTGCGGACAAGTCTGACACAGAATAAATTTTCAGAGTTTTCTAGAAAGGATTGTATCCACTAGAAAAAAGGGTCAATTCTTTATTATTGTTATCGCACGAACGTGATCATACATATACAAAGAAACTCGTATTTGAGTGGCCTGAGAAATGAGATGCCAGATGGAGCACGTCCTACTTTCCAACGTAGGCGTTTTGTGCAGGTGGAGCAGAATACACTAGAGGTTGAGGAGGAGGGTAAGCACCACCACCACCGCAACCTACAGGGCCTCCACATGGTGGTGGTGGAGGAGGTGGTGGAGGAGGAGGTGGGGGATAAAAACCACCACCGCCGCCGCAACCTCCACCACATGGTGGTGGTGGAGGAGGTGCACATCCACAAGAAGAAGACGGAAGTGAAAGTAGTGGGAGTTGCAGAAGTGGTAGTCCCAATCCACCACCGCAGCCGCATGGTGGAGGTGGAGGAGGTCTGAAAATAAAAGTTGCATGTGACTGGAAATAATTTTTAGAGTAAGGGAAGCAGCACTTACGCGCATCCTCCACCACATCCGCCACCGAAGAGGAAGGCGTTAGAGCCAGCGACCAAGGTGAGCAGGATTACGTACTGCATCACGGCGAGTTAATAGCTCAGTCGGAGCGTTGAGATCGTTTTTATAGTCGGAAGAGCTGTTAACCTTCTCATTGCTGTCCCACCCATTCAGGAAGTGGTCTCCGCGGGCAATGTATCACTCGGGCCTTTTGATCGAGCTAGCGATAAGTGCTATTGTGTCATTGAACTTTTACGTACGTAGAAAGGATATCTCTACGTTCTACTGGGTCAGCCCGTAAGTAATGGCGTTTTTTCTCACTCAAAATATCGCCCTAAAAAACAAAAATTTGCCCATTAAGTTTACGCTGTTTTGCAAAGAATTCCTTGCGCTATTCGATAGACCTCTTAGTTTCTTCAAAGTTCCTCTTCCCACAAATGTTTAAGTGCGCAAACTTCACTGTCAGGTTGAGGAAATCGAGCACCTTCAACAGCCTCTCTTTTTTTACCTCTAATTGAAAAAAACGGCCAAGTAACAGGCCCAGTGCCAAGCAGATGGCCAAGAGGCTATGTCTTTTAGGAATGCTTGCAACGTTTGAATTATTCGAAGATTTCGATTTCGACCTCACAGACAAGCATCGAACCTAATGCCCCGTTGAGTTTAAGTGAGAGCTTACTTAATTGCCTCATTCACGGAGATTCATGCCAAAGATTGACAATTCGTTAAAGGTCATGACATGCTCGCTATCATTATCAAGCATCACCCTCAGTCAATGTTAGACGTTCAAAAGTCAGGGAGTGGGTTCTGCAGGCATTTGCCTCAAGAGGGACTCCATGCAATGCACATTTACAAAGTCCGAATTCCCATCCTTCTTTGGCTTGAGACAACTTCAAGCTGTCATAGACGCATCTTTCATTGAACATATTTACCACAAGTTTCTTGCTTCTTCCGTAATTTGGTAGCTCAGATAAAGTGCAAAAAGTTACTGTCCAATACTCACTTCTGTGACGACTGAACACTCCATTTCAACGAAATAAAAGTGGACAGAAATCAAGAAACAATAGAAGGTAACCAAACTGCCTTGTAGAGCAGAATGTGATCTATCAACACTGCAGAACACATTGGGAACATCTTTCACTTTCCAGATAAAAAGTTGTGTGAGAAAAAACGCCATTACTTATCGGCCGACCCAATACTAAAGGAGCCTGATGTTCCCTGTCAAGATTCCCCTCGATCATTGCTCTTTTTAAGGGTTGTTTGTGAATAAATACGGCCCAGTAAACAAAGGAGATAAAAGAACCAAATGGGCAAGGTGGTCGTTTCGTAAGCTTTTTGGGGCGCCGCAAGTTCGACTCTCGGTCTTTGTCCTAACCTGAGAAACTCGAGCTACTTTTACGGCCTTACTATCAGTGTCCTTACAGACGACTTTTCGTTCAGGCGTGTATTGTGTAGAAAACGGTGTCGGTCTCACGCGCACGATTCAAAGGTCAAATCTCGGGTCATTTCCCACTCTGGATAGTAATGTCTCCCATCCCGTCGGAGATGGTATGTTAATGGCAGTCATTTTCGGCAAAACCATCATTTTCGGCAA